TGTTATCATCAAAATCATAAACTCGGAAGCCCGAGTTATAACATTTGTCATATGCCAATGCAGAAATAGTCTTACCTGAAAAATTACAAATTATTTCCAGCTGATCCTCCAGCTGATTATCAATGTGCAAATTCCTGATGATATTTACAAGATTTTCATGGAAGAAATTAAGGAGTTTTCCTTCATCCCATTCCCCAGTATCAGAAATAAAGTACTAAACATTCAAATTTTCCAAAGCATTACAGTCCACAAAGGTTGTCCATTCATTTAGACATTTATACAACATCCAGATATCACTTAGAACATTAATTTTAACTCCTTTTCCCACTTTCCATCTCACAATGGGTTTCAAGTGTTTACCTCCATCATTTAGTAATTTCCAAGCATTAGAAAAACCTCTCAAGCAATTGTCATTAAGAACATTATGTCTGAACTTAGCCTTGAAAGTTCGGTTCAGGAAAGAATCTATTTTCTGGATATAATTCTAGGCTAACCTTGCCCGTAGAGTACCACTCCTAGTTATGATAGATTGAACACCCAACCCACCAGCCGTAATTGGACAATAAATGTCCTCCCAAGCAACATAATGCAACCCGGGTTTCTCATTCTGTTTATGCCAAATGAATTTCCTACATAATTTCTCCACCTCATGAAGCACCTTCTTAGGCACCATGGAATGAGTAACAGTAAATCTCGGAAGAGACATCAGAGATGATTTAATAAGAGTAATCTAACCACCCAAAGACAGTGACTTCTTCCCCCAAACATTTAATCTATCCGAGACATGGCTTAGAAGATCCTGGAAGTCAGGCTCTCCCAACCTCTGTAAAGAAATCTTAATACCCAAGTACTGCAATTCCTTGACAACCCAGAAACCTAGAATATTAGCCACGATGTTCTTATGAGATCTCTTAATAATCTTACTAAAAATGATCTGGGATTTATTAACATTCACCTTTTGACCTGTCAAATTACAGAAATCCTCCACAATGCCTTTTAACAAACGTGCCAAAAAATGTAGTAGCCCAAGAGAAAAGTAGCATATCATCTGCATAGAGAAGATGCGTGATCCTAGGTCCTCCTGGAGATACTTGAATGCCGAATTCTTGCCCCCTTTGCTCAATTGAGTTAGACAGCAATTGAGAGCAGCCTTGCCTGAATCCATAATGTGCATCAATCCACTTCGTGTATTTCTCATTCAGGATAATAGAAAATCTAGCATTTATCAAACATTCCTCTAGAAGCTTAGAAAAGGCAGTGGTGAAGCCATACCAGAGGAGAATATGATTCAAGGTTGACCATCCCATACTATCATACGCCTGTTCCATGTCCAGTTTCACAGCCATCAGCCCCTATTTATTTCTTGATACTTTAAGTTTATTGAAAATCTCTTGTACCAATAGGCAATGCTCCAAAATTAACCTCCCTGGAATGAATGCAACCTACTCTTCAGAGATCAACCTAGGCAAACAAGTCTTCAATCTATTAACCAACATCATGACCACAATTTTGTACATGCTTTGACATAGACTAATGGGTCTATAGTTAGCAGGCCAAACCGGATTCTTAATTTTAGGAATTAATACAATGAGTGTATCTTTCTATTCCTTGTGCATTACTCTGGATATAAGGAATTTATTTATCGCATTCCAAGTGGCATCACATACTAAATTCCAATAGCATTTGAAAAAGGAAGAAGTTACACCATCAAGTCCCAGAGACTTGTTGCTACCTTCCTGAAAAATAGTGATTATGCACTCCTCCATATTAAAATCTATACTCAAGGCAGCAGCATTCAAAGCACTTATCTTCTGCTTTTCTGAAGAATAAGGCCACCCCATCAAGTAACAATATTTGTATTTCCATTTCTTCTCAAAGAACTACAAAAATACTTGTTCTAATTGATCATCTTCCTCTACCAGAGCATTGTTGGCATCCTTAACTTGCATAATCCAATTTGCATTCCTACGGGCATATGCAAAGTTATGGAAGAACTTTGAATTAGTGTCCCCCTCCTCATGCCATCTGGATTTTGCTCTTTGGTTCCACCAAATAGTTAGTCTTCTAAGAGTGACATTAAGTTCATGAACCTTTCTTCTAAGATTGAGCAAATCATCACTAGAAAAACCTGAGCCCGAAGCCTCTTTGGTTTGTAGTTCCAGAATATCTCTCTTAAGCTCTTCTTTCAGCATACACAGATCACTGCACTTATTCTTATTCCAGAAAAACAGCACTCACAATGTCCTCCTGAGCTTTCTATGTAGCACCTCCACCTCATCACAAAAATCAGTCTTTTTCCAGGAAGTAGAATCACTACTCCAGGCAGCCTGGTACAACCTCCAAGTATCTTCAAATCTAATAGCCTTTCTTTTATTAATCCTTTTAGGATCTAAAATGTACACAATCGGGCTGTGATCAAAGGCCACACGAGAAATATGCTTAACCTTCCCATGTGGTACTAAATGCAAAGCCAAGGAGTTTAGCAAACATCTATCAAGACGTTCCCAAATCCTTGAGGAACCCTCCTTAGTGTTACACTAAGTAAAGCTTTGTCCAACATAACATGTAACATGAAAATCAGAATTATTCTCTCTTGGCCCTTTAGAGAATAAGAATCTCTTGCCAACCTTCTTCTCGTCCTTATTTAAAATACAATTAAAGTCCCCTCCCACAACAGCATGACCCGAATCCTTCATATAGACCTCAAGCAAGTTCCACAAACTCCTCCTTTCAGTTTGACATCTGCTACCATACACCGTTGCCACCTTCCAAACACCCAAGGAAGGTGTAGAAAGAGAACCGACCACCAATTGAGAGGAGCTCTTCTCAACATCAAAAGAGACCATCTTGAAATTCCACAAGATCAAAATCCCCCCAGCAGTCCCCACAGCTGGGAAATGGAAATAATTCCAATCCTTTCCAATAAGGAAATCAACGTCCTTTCTTTCAATACTAGCTATTTTAGTTTCCATCAACCCAACAAAAAAAGCATTATGATCCCTTACAATCTCTTTAAGATACAAGGAAGCCTCCTTTTTCCTGGCCCCCCTGCAATTCCATAAAAGTTATAAATTCATTAAATAACCATAGGGGAGCCCTCCCCACCTGGCACATTTCCTTTGCCCTCCATTATTATTTCCTATAATCTGGTTCTACAGGCCCTAGAGATTTTAGTTCCTTGGACAGTTTCAACTTGACCAAACTGCTGCTCTGTGAGATCACAGAATCAACTCGTTCAGGTAAATCAACGGTACTAGTCAATTCCTTCTGTTAAATCACACTGTTCTGATCCCTCATTTCCCCTTCTTCAATTTACTCAAGCAGGACATCAAATTTGTTAGCAACTGATACCCCCATTGTAATCTCCTCTTTACTAACAACATTATCCGTATTCAATACAGATAAATTCACCTGTTCCAGAACAGGATCCACCTCATCCTTTTTGTGTTGCTTCATAACTTCCCCTGTATCAGAATGATGAACCTGAGCCTGTACATTAACACCAGCTGTATTTCTTCCCGGTTTGCCGACCGTTGCCATCTTCCCATTCTTGAATCTCCTATTTTTAAATTGCACATGAATCCATGAACCATATTAACTTTTATCTTCTTTAGCGCCAAACTCTCCTCCCAAAACTTTCTCAGTAATAGAGTTCCTTGTCGGCTGATTGAAAGTAACCTTCTTCACACATTCAGGGCAATCTTTCCTATCATGACAAACCATGCCACAATGATAACAAATCAGATCAATCTTCTCGTATTCAATTTTTTTGAAGAACTAACCAGCAATTCCATCCACCTACACACCATTAGGGAGTTGGTTTTCCAGATTCAGTCTTACACACACTTGGGCAAATTCTCGTTTCCCCCATTTAAAGGAATTGCCATCCAGATACATCGGCGTACCAATTCTGGAAGCAATCCTAATGATATTCTCCTCATCCCAGTAATACAAAGGTAAAAATGGAAAATGAATACACACCGGTGCAGTAATTCCCCTGAAGGAGTTCGGGTTAAACAGAGGATACCACTTGTCCATCCTGATAATGTGACCTCCAACAAACCAAGGCCCAACATTTAGCACTTCCTCCATTGCTTCCACTGACTTGAATGAACATAAAATCCAGTTCATTCCTATGGACGTCATATGAAAACTACCAAAAATACTCCACTGCTTCCTCAATTCCAGGTTGCACCAAGGAAAAGAAACTTTATCTCCAAGAACCTTGATAACCAGAGAATGTCTAAGAATCTCCGAATTTAACACCTCCTTCTCGGCATTAAGCTTTACCGCCACCCTGTCCTCAGACAATTTCATTAACACCTTATCTATAGGAATCTTAATATGCTGAGTTTTTTTCCAGGCTTCATTAACATTCTCCCTCAACTCAATTACCGAAGAATCATACTGAACATTGGACTCCAGGTTCTCATTCAAAATTGACTTCTTCAGCGGAGAACTATCAACCACATTCAAAGCAGAGACCTCAATCTCAGAATCTAACATACGACCGTCTCCAACTTCATGATTCAACACAAATTTGCTAACCTTCAAGATCGCGCCAGTAGAAGATGATGCATCCAGAATATTATCTAAAACAATCTTCTCAATTGCAGGATTATGACCATTTCCAGAATCACAATCCATTACAGCCCTTTTCTCTTTGCCTTCAACCATTTCTGGCGAACTAGAGGCTTCGCGCCCTCTCTGATTACAATGCCATTGCTGCCCTTGCCAATACCCCGATTGGCACCAGAAGTCCAAATATTAGTCATGAATCAAGTGGTGGAGAACCACCAATCATTCGTACGGCCACCCGCCGGCGTCACAATCCCGTACGCGCAAAGCTCGTGAAAACAAAAATTAAAAAAAAAAAGATTTTCTCTCTCTAGAAAATCCGGGAGCTTCTCTCACTAGAAATAGGGCTACTCCTCACTTCTTCCCATAGTAGATTTTCTTACACAATCAAAGTAAGATCTCCTAAAAAAATATCATACACTTCCCTAGCCTCCCTTAAACTTTCTCTAAGGGGAAATAAGAAGATAACACAATAAAGTATAAGACTCCACTAAATTTATCAAACTTCCAAAATAAAATAACTTTAAAAAATATTTATACAAGTACTAAAATGGGATCAAGCATCATGGTGCTCGATAAGTTATAACTGCGATGGTCTAAATTGAACAAGTGCCTCGGTGTTGTAATTTATACTCCACTGCAGCGCTGGGCTAACTAGCACAACTATTGGGCAAACTAATGCGTCTTTTGGCTATATTAATGTGGCTCCCTTTTTGCAACTACTCTACTATGATGCTATCAAATTTGAGTGTTATTAATCTTAAAAGTTTAATTCATCATAGTGGCATTCCAATGATTGGTTCTATGACATTGAAATTTTTAGCCTCCAATGCTTTAGTGATGTTTTTCTAGCATAGAAATATTTTGTAGCACTATGGCCCTGAAAATATCTCTATCAAGGTGTTTAATTTACCTAAAAATTTTGAGAGGCCAGCTTTGCAATGTTCAAATTAGGCCATGGGGTGTTGTAGATGTCCACACTGTATTACTAAATATATAGGCAATACGTCATTGTACAAAACTTTTGAATTTTTCTTTCTCCAAAATATTTTCTACAGAAATATAACTCAAACAACTTATTTATACTAATTTTAGACATAATAATCAATACATAATTTACACAATATATGCAAGTTAAATACTTCGGCTACCTACATAAAATTTTATGTAATGTTTTCTATCTTATCCTGCTTTAAATTACAAGGAGTCATCTTCTAAAATCTTATTTATTCTATATAATTTTAACAATTTTATAGACTAAATAAAAGATAAAGATTAATTCATTTTCTTTTAAAAATAATAATATACATAAATTAAATTTATATCTCCTATTATTATATTAAAATATAACTCACATGATTTTTTTATATGATGTTAATTTATTTTTTTTAGCAAATTCAACATTTCTTGCTACCCTTTCCTATTATTAACTAATATTATACTAGACTTGTTCATTTTTTGAAGAAATCATTATTAAATTTAAGCTTTCCACTTACTTGGTCTTCTAGCTATGACCACTAGTTAACCAATTGACATAACTTTACAAGATGTTTTATTACAGAAAGCTAACTTAAAATGTATCTTATAATTATGCTATTTGATACATAGAGAATGCATAATCTATTGTTCTATATTTTAGGAACTCGGATTTAAATTCAATAATGTAAAATGATGAAAGCTAATAACCATTAATACATAGAGTATAACTTTTAATTTGATTATGATTTTTTTTTAGCAAATAACCTTTTCCCGAAAGGTTCCTTGAACT